AATAAGTCCACCATCAGGCGTGCTTCGTCCGCTATTCCGTCGCGTGGCCGCCACCACTTTGAGCCCTGGCTGGATGCACGCGTGCCCACCCTGGCTGCGGAACTTCCGTCGACCCGACGGAACATTCGCATCGCGACTTTTCCTTCGGTAATTAAGTTTCCATCGACGGGCGGACCTTCTCGAACGGACGAATTTATTTGCCGCGCAGCGGCAACACCGCCGGCCCCGATTTTCTGCCCGGCGAAAGGCATTTTGATTAAAAATTGGGCGCGTGCTTTTTTCTCGCCTGCCGACGACCCGGCCCGATCAGCGCCCGACCCGCGACCGCCAGAGCACTCGCGAAATTTATTCCAGAGTAACGAGTTTCTCTGTTACGCGAAAATTGTTTTCTCTCTAGCCGGGCGAAATTTGAAATATGGAAAACAGAAACGTTCGGGGCCGTGGGCGGTGTATTTTTTTCGGACAACGAAGTATCGGTGCATTCTTTTTGCCATTAACCCCCCAAAATGTTACTTACGCGGGCGCGTCCTGCGCCCGCCGCAACGCCGCTTCGTTTCCCGAGAGAAATTTGCAACGTTGCACCGGACGCTACGGTTTTCGGACCGATGCGTGGTCTGATAGCGTCGGAGGTCAAATCATTGGTCGCGGAAGTTAAATTGGATCATGTTCGGACAAGCGAATTCTGATCGGATACTGATAGAATTCAAGTCAAAGTTCACACTATAATCAGACAACTATACTTCGGTCAGATGCAAGTATGCTAATTCTGATCAGATAGTATCAGAGTTTAAAAATCATCAGTGCCAGTCAATTCAATTCATAGATCAGTTTCAGACAAGTTTATACTTATCGGATACTATCAAAGTTCAAATTAATAGTCAGACAATGATCAGACAATTAAATCCTGTCTCATTGGATAGCATCACAGTTCAAGTGAAACAAATTAACTTGAATTCAGATTCTATTTTTGATCAAGTCCTGTCTGATCGTGCGCTATCAGAGTTCTCATAAATACCAAGAGAGTGCAACTTAGATCAGATTCGGACGAGCTAATATTAATTAAGTCCTGTCGGATCAGGCAATCAGTTCCTTCGGAATTTATTGGATTGTTACAACCGGTAAGAACAGATCAATACCAGAGGCAGCTTGATGCGAGCCCGGCTCGTGTAATAAGCAAGTAGCACGTTGTACAGTGATCAGAGAGTGGGATCGCTACGGTCTCAGCAATTATGCCCAGCACGTAAGCGTGTTCCAGCGAAATGTCTCCCATAAGATGTACAGAATCGTAAGGGATCCACGACCAGACAAGCGTTATTACAATTTCTCACGTTAAAAGGCGGAGGAGAGCAGCCGTGGCGCGCGGCGATGCTCGCGCTTCTGGGCGAAAGGTAATTAGCTCTAATTGACTCGAAGAAATTAACGATCCCGATGAAAGCTAAACCGTAGCTCGTTTCTCGGCGGAGCGCCGGCGACTGTTTAATGTTTTTTGTAATTACCGATGATGCAGACGCGACGCTGATTCGACGCGTCACGTCTGCTAATTGGCTCACTGTGAATTCATCCATACAGAAACGAACGAATCGTTCTCAGTTGATGAACGATCATATCGCGACGTACTGCACCGGACGAAAGATTAAGATGAACGGGAGGAAAGGAAGAAATTTGTAAGATGAGTCTTTCGGCAAGTTTTTTTTAGGACGGTGTTTCCCATCTACCACGTCTTGGAACAATTTTTTAGCACGAAATAAGATACGACGTGCGAAAGTAAATGCTTCAACCTTCAAAATGAGTACACATAGATCGTCATACGATTTTTTTGAAGGAAATGGCGAGAGTCTGAATATTGACTACTATTCGAACATCGTCAATTTAGCAGAACGTCTTCTTCGACGACGTTTCCTATCCGCGCGATCATAAAAAATTTTTGTAACGAAAAATAGCTACGGCATATGAAAGTAGAGGCTCTTTTCTTCAAAATGAGTCTAGTCTGATTGCCCGGTGATTTTTTCTAACCAAATTGTGGGAGTCTGAATATTGACTACTACTCGAACATCGTCGATTCAGCAGAACGTCTTCTTCGACGACATTTCCCATCTGTCCTATCATAGAAATTTTTTTTAGCAAACTATTAGTTACGGTGTATGAAAGTACAGGCTCTAGTCTTCAAAATGAGTCTAATCCGATTGTGCCACGATTTTTTTTATCCAAATTGTGGGAGTCTGAATATTGACTACTACTCGAACATCGTCAGTTTAGCGGAACGTTTTTTATCTCGAGTGCCAGATTTTCAATAAAAAATATTTTACCGATGAGACGTTTGATTTCTTGTGTGATCTGCGTTGGGGAAAAGGAGACCCTCTTTGTAAATTGAAACCGTGAACCGACTCTGCGCTGCTCACGATATACGCGAGACCGAGCTATTTGTAAATGTCACAGATTGCCAAATACGTCTCTCGGTATTCTTTTTACGATGCATGAACGATCGGTCGGATACGGGTATTTGTGTTCCGAAACGTTTCGAACCGTCGATTCCTGTATCGATGCCCGGCTCCGCAGATATTTCACACATGCGCTTGTCTTTCGAGACTACTTTTATGCTCCTGCCATTGATCTTACGCTTTGGAACCAATTCGGCGTACGGTGCATTTAAATGACGAGTGACTCCCGATAAACGCGCGGAAAAACGATCCGCGTCCCACACGGTAAAACTCGGGCCGTAAAAGATTTATCGGGATGCCCGGTGTTGCATCATTTGGCACACATTCCTCTACGTAAAATTCTAACCGGAGAAATATCACCGTATCCGACTCGGTATAATGTACTCGAGGAAGAAATTGTTTCGGGCGTTCGCGAAAATAATGGCCCCGTTCACTCATCACGTTGCCCTATGCTCCGGCGCTGCCTAAACAATGGCACCCCCAACTTTGAGACATCGCCCTCGTGACGTTATTCTGTTTCAAACTGATCCCCGGAAACGGTGTCTAGTTCGACAAGAAATTTTGTCGCGGCCGCAGTTAAGTTATTCTCTTATTTTAACAACTGCTCCTAAAAATGGTACCTAGTTCGAAGCCTCGCGAAAAATATTCTCGTGGCCGAAGTGAACTGATCAATTTATCTATAATTCGTTCAGCATTTCGATGACATTAGTGCAAAGACATTAGCTCGTCAATGGCATTATTCTGCTTCAATCGTTCACCGAAAAATGGCCCCTGGTCTGCGACCTAACAAAGAATTTTTCTGCGATGAAATTTCACTTATTAATTCACTTCTGCTTCGCTGGAAATTTCAGGAAACAATGACCCACTCGCGACGTTATTCTTCTTCGACTGTTCCCAAAAATGGTACCCGGCTCAAAGCTTCGCTAAAAATATCCTCGCGACCAAAATTAATCAATTAATTTATCCGTACCTCGTCGAGCAGTCGCGAAAACAATAGCTCGCTAACGACATTGCTCTTGTTCACCAGTTCCTTAAAAAATGCCACCCAACACGAGAGCTCTCTAAACATTTCCCAGCGGTCGGAATTAATTGGCCAAATGACCCGCGCGCGCTCGCCGCGCGATTGGAGCTGTAGGACCCACGCGGAAGAAAATGGCGGTGGCCCGTGCCCGAAGATGTCCGAGCAGCCGCCGAAAATAAGGCCGCGCAATCCGCTTGGCGGTGCAGCGTGGGCGTGCACACATTCCGCCGGTATTTGTACATGTTGAGAAGACAAACTGCGAGGCGCAATAGAGACAGCCGGCGCGGTTAGAGGGGAGGGGATGAATGGACCGGTGGCTGGGTCCAAGTAGTATCGCGTAGCTACTTAAAACTTTTGGAGCTTGTCTTGTGTCCCTACTAGTTGGCACCTTGCTTACTTAGCTCCGGTTTGCAACTCCTACCTTCTCCCGAAGTCTCCTTCTCTTCCTGGCTCCGCTCCTTCGTGCAACCTCCGCCTTGCTCGCCCTGCTTGCGCCGTGCCCTCTCCCTCCGCGGGGATGTTCCTCACTCCGGGTGCCTCCTTTCCTGCTGGCTCCGGACGAAGTTTACCTTTGTTTCTGTCCGTCAGCGCGATATACTTCATGGCCAGCGCCGCGATTACCCTGGAAAATGGCTGCGCCGCGCTGCCGCAATACAGTCCGCGACGAAGAAACATCGCGCTTTCGAATTCGCTTGATCTCTATTCGTTTAACGCCAGAACTACCGAGAACTAAACCAGAACCAACAAGATTCAACTTATTCGAACTCTTTACGAGCTTTGTTAGAATATATGTTCGGACGAAGAAGTTATTTTTCGTGAAAATATGTTTATGGCATTAGCAATTGTAAAAAAAGAAGCAGAAATCGGTCATTTTGATGAGATCCGGCAAAAATGGACAATTGGAGAAGAGGGGATACGATTATTCGAGCCTCGCGGCTCGTTGAGGTCTGATGTACATTGTTACAGCTTCCCGCGTGCTGTGTCTTCGTACAATTTTTTCGACGAAAATGAAGTAAACGCAGAAAAAGTAGAGATTTCGGGCTTTAAAATGAGTTCAATTTCGTTGTTCTGTGATTTTTATTCACGAAGTTACAGTATTTTGAATATCGACGCTTTTTCGAGGGTCAGAAATTTCGTGGGAAATCTGGAACAAGGTTTCCCATGCACTGTGTCGCAAATAAATTTTGTTAAAAAAATTTAGGAATGGTTTCTGAAAGTAGACACTTTGGGCTTTAAAATGAGCCAAGTTCCATAGTTGTATCATTTTTCTGCTCAAAGTTATAGCAGTTTGAATATCAAGAATTGTTTCAAAAATTTGAAACTTCGAGGCTTCCCCAATTGTCCCTGAGCTTAGAAACGAAAATGGACAACTTGGGAATAGGGGATACGATTACAGTTAATTATCCTGTTCCCAAGTCCTTCATTTTTCTACCAAATCCAAAGAGCAATTCCGCGAAATTATTGCAACGATTCGACGATCTCGACTACCCTGCAGAACCATCGACCTGCTTAACCAAGACGAATTTCCACCTCTGTTCCAGGATATACAAGTGCTACCGCTGCATGTCGATGCACATGAAGCACCCGAACGTCCTCCAATACAAAGAATGTGAGTACCGTCCGGGCTCGTTAGTTCTCATTCTTGGCAGACACCAAGGTCTCCCGGCACTGTCAGAGATTGATCGGTTCCCGTTTCAGCGTACTGCACACCGGCGACGCCTAAGCCCGGCCTGACTGAGATGTGCAGCCAGCTGGCCAGCGACACCAGCCTGATCTCGTTGTTCCGCACCGGGGCGACTCCCATGCCCTGTCCTTTCAAAGGACCCCTGGAGTTCTCCTACACCCGCGGCGAGGAGGAGTGCAACTCGCCGTCGTCCACCGCCGAGACCTGCACACAGGAGTCCCGGCTGTTGCTGCGGTATCAGGCCTGCCCGAACGTCAAGTCGTCCGAGAGATTCGGTTCGTACCGTCCTTTGACAATCCTAAGACATTCGGGAACTTCGGTGTGTGTTTTGTTAGATTGCTTGCTGAAGATTCGAAATTGTTAACGTAGATCTACGTGGACCAAGGTGGGTGTAACCAGACCTATCTAGATCTTAGGGATACCTAGAACTATCTGCTCCTAGCTAGAACTAACCAGAGATGCCCTGAGATTAACTAGATATATCTAGACGTTATTCAACCTAAGTAGACTTCACTAGACCTATTTAGATCTATTTAGACCTATTTAGACCTATAGTAGAACTCCAGAAGTTGACAGGCATTGCTCAAGATTTCGTTGCTATAAATGGAGCTGTGCTGTATCTAGAGCTGCCTGGATTGGATCAGATCTAATTAGACATGGCCAGACTCAATTAGATTCAGACAAATGTAACTGGACTTGACGTGGACCTAATCGGACCTAGCTAGACCTATGTAGACGCAACTATAGAAGAGATCTTGGAATTTTGGTCTTTGAAAGTTAAAGCTTATAAAATTAGGTCCTTACGATCTAGAATCCGCAAAAATTATGTCTCTAGAATCTCGAGACTGTAAAATTAGATCCCTAGAAATTAGAGCCTGCGAAATTAGATCCCTGGAAGGTACATCCTGCAAGATTAGATCTCTAGAAGCTAAATCCTATACAAAATTATGTTTTTGGAATCTAGAGCCTGCAAAATTAGGTCCTTAGAACCTAGAGTCTGCAAGCAAAAATTACGTCCCTGCAATCTAGGGTCTGCAAAAATTATATCCCCGGAATTTACAGCCTGCGAAATTAGGTCACCGGAAACTAGAACCTGCGAAATTCGGTCCCCAGAAGGTACAACCTGCAAGATTAGGTTCCCTAGAACGTATAAATTTAGGTCCCGCGAGACCTGGACTAAGTTAATACGATCGCGATCTCGCGTATCTCTATCCGATAGTACGATTAGTGGTCCCAGCAGCGTGTCGAACAGTTTCGCGGCCGAGCCGAACCGTCTGTGACGGGCCGTTCTGGCCGGCCTAATGAAGATGATTATTCGATCCGGTTAAGTGGTACCGTCCGATTTTTGCCTCGTTAATAATACTCAGTCGCGACGTAGATTAACACGACACCGGAGACCTGTAACGGTCAATAAAGCTTTCGGCGTCGCGGTAAATGATTAATGGTCTTGTCAATTACCATTTGTTGCTCGGATTCTCGAAACGATTTTCCGCGGCTGACTATGGGGCCGCGGCATCCGGGGTAGGGAGGGGGGCGGGGAGGAGGAGAGGTGGCACGGTCACCAGTAGAACGCGTGTATAATTCACCCTCGACGGCGATGTATGCTTTATCACCGTGTAAAACGCTGCTGACCGTAACTTTCGGCCGGGCGATCGTTGGTAATTCATTCGCCATCGTCTGTTGCCGTCGCCGTGATTATAGAAACGAATCAATTCCCGTGCCGCAGACCTCGAGCTCGAGTGTTTCGCCACGTGGAAGGATGGCAGCACGCACAATCTGGTCGCCCGACTCTACGGGCCACGGAAGACCAACGACGAGGACAGCTACCGTTGCTTCATCTATCGGCAGACGTCCAACACGTCATGGGACGTTGCCGAGAGCGCGGACGCCGGGTGCACCGGCTTCAGGGTCAACGACGCTGACAGAAACTACAAGATGACGCAGAGTGAGTGACGACACACCTTACATTTCTCTTCAAATATTTGCTTTGCTTGGTCGGGGTTAGATCTCGTTGATTTGCCAATGCAAGCCCGGAGGTTTCGAACTTCGTCAAACTTCGTCAAACTTTGTCAAACTTCGTCAAACTTCGTCAAACGTGGTCGGACAATATATCAGCGTCTATTTGCCTGTTTCGGTGACGTCGGAATGTACGCCCAACGGCCTCAAACTTCGTCAAACGTGGTCAGACAATACGTCAGTGATTATACACACTTGCTTTCAATAAAAGTGTTCTCGACGCATTGATTGACAAGCCCATTTTGAAGAAATCTGTTCTCCACGTTAACATTACTTTTTTCTTTTAATTAAATGAACAATAATACGTACAAAATAATAATAAATAAAAAATCGTCATAAGCAAAAAATAGTGAAAAGTACAACATAATAGGAAGTATAGATATAAGAGTAACAAGTAAAATAATAATAAGTAAAAAATCATAGTAAGTAAATAATAATAAATAAAACCTTCCTCTTTTTAATAATGTACCTTTAACAGACGCTTCGTGATGGACGTCTGCTACGAGACACAGTAAATTCTCTTCAACTGTCCCTCAGCTTGTAAGCAAAAATGGACAATTTGGGAATAGCAGACACGATTTTTCGAGCCTCGGTGCTCGTTTTTATGATCATTGGCGATCGGTAACTATAAAAACGAGCCACAATCGAAAATTGAAATTAAAGAACAAAATCGACCCTATCAAATCTTCGTTACGCGATCATGCGTTCGCCAATGAAAGAATCGCAAGGATCGGCTTGCTTCCAAATTGGTATTCCTTGGTAGCGATCGGTAGATCGGATTGACGCCCGGGCACCGTCGAGACTCCGCGACGCGTTCCACGGAAGCTGATCGCTAACGCCACCGGCAGATCGTTAACTGATAAGCATCGTGGCATGACGGCGGCCGCCGCCGGTGATAGGAACAGCCCCGAAGAACAAGAGCACGTGAACTATGAGGGTGTCCGTGGACACCGGATCAGATTCTTGTTCGGTGTGCTATATCGGGGGCCGTGGGGGGTTGGTCGATGTCAGGTACTTGGAGTATTCCATGGTATCGCATAGCTGCACGTAACCTTACCAGATTGCGATGATTCTGGCGCTGCAGCCACGGTTAACCAAATTGAGGTGATAGCTCGAACCGTCCGACATTCTTGGAATTGAATTCGTTCGACGTTAAACGCCCGCCGAATCTTTGTCTGTCGTTCGATCCGCGCACGATGGAATTTCTGCCGGACGTCCGATACCTCGCGTTTTTTTATCTACGAGGCTCGCTGTACGCGAGTTCGCCGCATTCCGCGTAGATCGTCCTCGTGGGACGATATCGAAAGTTAATAATTATTAATAATTGATAACTTAGTAATTATAGATACAATTTTCTTAATATGGAAATTATATTCTATGTAAAATAATGATATTAAATTATTATTAAATTATTATTATAAATTATAATTAAATATCGATAATAATTCCTTAATTCTAACAAGAATTGTTTCTTGCGCTATTAGTGGCATCGTTACCTTTTTACAGTTAATCTGCAAAATCCTTCTTGGTCTCAATGTTAAGGTGAACGGACTTACGCCGATTGGCTCCGGAGCCTTCCCGAATATTGTCCTAGTCGCGGCGACACGGGCACCCATAAGTGCCGTTACGAGTAGACAATGGTATCAGATGGGGGTGATCTTGTTTCCGGCTTTGTGGCGAACCGCGTTCCCCTGGATTTCCGGGATATATGAGTGATTGCTCGCTGCCTGTACAAGCACCGGCGAGATTTATTTCATGCCATGCGTAGCCTGTGCCAGGTTCCGGTGACGTTTTCTGAATCCGAAAGTAATTTCCCCCGATGACGATACCGAATACACGATCGGCCGAGGACTTATTGCCTCAGATAATGCTCGGCTCCTCCTCCAACAATCGCGGGCAATATTTACTCGCGATATATATTATATATACGGATGACGAAGTTAACGAAAATAAAACTTCGCCTTGTCCACGAGTCGAATTCGAACGGCTTCGAAGCAGATTGAGATTTTTGTTAACGGCGGGCTGTAACATCGACTCGAATGTTTCGCTAGCCCCGTTCTACGGCGTTGGTCTGCGCTTCCATTTAAACTTTCCGGAAGGCGGATTAACCCCGGAATCTCGAAGCTCTCGCCTCTCTTTTCCCGGCTCGGCGGAGCAAACGAAAGCATTTCTCGCTCTGATGTCCCTCTCCCTTCGACTCCGTTCCGTTCGACGCGTTTGGCTCTGCTGGAAATATTGCTGTTGCTTTTGTTCGTCGGACATCGTTAAACGTCGCGAACATGTTCGCGAAGTCTGATGAGATAAAGGTCAAAGATAGTGAAATGTTCAAGTGCACGTGATTAGAGGGAGTCGAACTTAGTCAAACATGATCAGACTTGGGAGACCACTTAGTCAAACATGATCAAACTTGGCAGACCATTCAATCAAGTATGATCAAATTTAGGTGACCACTTAAACGTGATCAAACTTAGGAAACCATTTAATTAAACGTGGTTAAACTTAGGAGACCATTTAGTCAAACATGATCAAACTTGAGAGACCACTTGGTTAAACATGGTCAAACTTAGGAGACCACTTAATCAAACATGGTCAAACTTGGAAGACCACTTAATAAAACACGGTCAAACCTAAGATACCACTTAGTCAAGCGTGATCAAACTTAGAAAACCACTTAATTAAACCTGGTCAAACATTAAATACCATTTCTTAGTCAAACAGGATACTTAATTAATTCTTTGCACTCGAAGCCATTTAAACTTGAAATCAAAAATAGCTTTTCTTGATCAACAGTACTTCCATTTGATATGACTTAGTGCATTTTATGCATATGAAATTGCATTTCATTTCCAAAAAGAATACATACTAACAATACACATTACCCCTGCGTAATCGTTTTAAGTAGATTCATCCAGCCACGATCAGACATTCTATGAACATTATTCCATCGCACAAATCTTGCAGATTAAATCATTTAATAATTTTTTCTTATAAATATAATCAGACTTAATAATGTAAAAATAGGAATGCAAACTTGCGAAAGGGTTAAACGCAGTCAGACTTAAAAATCGCTCAGTCAGGCATGGCGAGACTTCGACTGTCACTCTCAAACATGGTCAAACCTCGATGGCCACTTGATCAAACTTAATCAAACACGACGAAACATAAATATCGAATTTCATTCGCCGTTGAAAGGAGCGACAACGGACCGGGAAATAAATTCGAAATTGCAGTGCGCGCCGGTGGATGCTGGGGAATATTAAAATATGAGTTAGCATTGTAGCGGATAATGGCTCGGGTGGAATTTCAGTGGCGCTGGTTTTCCCATGTTCTCCCGCGTCGCTCCCCCCCTTCCCCCATTGTACGGTTTGACATTCCCATTGCCGTCGAGCGTTTTTACAGGATGGTAAATCAAAAGTGTATGGATATTTTCTCTGTATCTCTGATGTGCCGGAAATTGTGCCAGAGAAAAAAAATAGCTTAGTGTTTACAATGGTCGACGAAAAACGCAAAAGCTCGTCCATAAACGGGCGTCAGCTTTGTCGTCTGCAAACAGTTATCGTGTCGATGGTCGACTGCTCGCAGCTATCAATCACTGGGCACGAATTAATGGACCGTTAAAAATGCACGGGCGCCGATGTATGCGCACTGTACTAAACGTGATCGATATATCGATCGGCCGTGCGATATCGTTGATCCGTAAATGCCCCTTTGAATTATGTTTAGAGCGGACACTGTTGCAGTATCGGCGCTCCCTCCGCTCGCTAATCTATTTTCAAAATGGTCGCGGCGTGTGTTGCTTTTCGGATCTTTCATTAATTAGATTTGTGTGGACAGGATCGCTTCGGCAGGATCAAAAAATTTCCGAGTGTTGTTGAAATTTTTTACGAGAAGTTTCTTTTTAGAGTGGATCCTTATACGGAGGGACGAGGGAAACGCGAGCCCTCGAATAATCGGGACCGTATCGTTTTCTCGATTTCCATCGATTCCGCGATTATAAAGACGCGCGACGGACGGAGAGCGAAAAAGGACGAAGTTTGCAACCAGTTTGGGGCTGTCAGCCCGAGAACTTGCCGAACTTGAAGAGCCCGGAATGAGTTTCCAGTTGTATTACGCATTTCGACGTCGGAGTAACTGCGTTAGCGACGGAGTTATATCATTTCGAGGACAGAATAAATCCTGTTCCGTCATTACTACCGCCTCATTTTTCGACGTCCAATCATCTTCTACTTCTGTTAGAGATTCAATTTATTTTTCAGGCTTCCTATTTTTTTTTGTAGGCTTCTTTCCTATCAACATATTTATAGCAATGAGCAGAAAGAGTATTCGTTATGTTTCCATTCTCCATGTCATGGGAAAATTTTTATATAGAAAATCAGTTATGGTGTATGAAAGTAGAGGCTTCAGCCTTCAAAATGAGTACACGTTCGATGTTGTACGATTTTTTTTAACCGAATTCTGCCGGTCTGAATATTGACTACTAGTCCAACTTCATCAATTTTGCCTCGTGACTTTTAAGAACACATTTCCTATCCGCTGTGTCGTAGAAAAATTTTTTAGTGAAAAATGAAGTACGACCCGTGAAAGTGGAAGCTTCAGTCTTTAAAATGAGTCAAATGTGATCATCGTACGATTTTCTTTAACCAAGTTGTAGAAGTCTGAATATTGACTACTACTCGAACATCGCCAATTTAGCAGAATGTTTTCTAGGTCGTTTCTCATTCGCCTTGCCATTAAAAAAATTTTCAACGATAAATAAATTAGGGCATAAAATAGTAGACTCTTCAGCCTTGAAAATGAATCTAGTATGATTGTCTTACGATTTTTCGTAACGAAATAGCGACGCCGACTACGTAGCTCTAATACCACTGCACCTTCCAATGATGCACAGCTATTTAAAATCTTTACAGTTGATTAAAAATCGAAGTATTTCCATATTGTTTAATAACGAACGTTAATGCTTTCTTTCAGAAAATCAGTCAAAACTGTGCGAGTATCCATCCTGGGTGGTGGCCAATAAGCTGTGGCTAGCCTTGGATCGGATATCGTCCCGACTGCTGGCAGCGCCTAATAACCTGACAATAGTTAATCAAAACGAGACTCGTCTCGTCTGTCACACCATTGTCCCGCTCAGCGACCGCCGCTACCACCATGTCTCGAACCCTAACAGAGAGAGTCAGGTGATGTACGTCGCCAAGGTCACCGTCGACTGGTAAGTATCCCTGAAAAATCTGAACGAACCGAAAACGTAACTCCTTAATTCGTAGAAAATCGTTACGCATCTTCGCAAAGTGTCTGACATCCGACGACACAATTCCCGATAAAACTTTGCTAAATCTCGGCACGCGGCAGCTGGAACACAGTCCTCTGCGAATAATAAATAGCGCGGCTCCGGTTGCGCAGGCTCAAGTAAGACACACCGCGTGTAATTATGACGGTATGCAGCGATAATCTCTTCATTACATACCGAAGACACTCGAGCTCGCATAAATAAACAGCGCGCGCCGGATTAAGCACGAAGATACTCGACTTTGGCTGCGCCTAGCCGGCGCGCACGTCGGAATGTCAATGAACATTCCTCCTAAGACTGCCGAGTGAGATCTCGCCGGGGCCCCCCTTAAGCTTCTGAATAATGAACGAGCATCGGCGAGCAGCGCAGTTTCTTTCGGTACAACGCTGCGGTTCCGGTTCCTCCGTTACCGCGGAAGTACAAATTAAGCAACAGGGCAACGGAACAGCTGTCAATCATGGCGGAACTTTCCGGGACCGGTTAGCCAAACATGGTCGAACTTCGACAACCAGTTAATCCAACATGGCCGAACTTCGGGAGCCGATTATTCAAACATCCGGGAACTTCGTTGGCCAGTTAATCAAAGCCTTTCTAAGCATGGTCAGCGAAGATCTCGTCGTGTCGAATCGCTAGAGCCGCGGGAGAACGTCGAAATCATTCACGCGTTCCGTTACACGGCTGTTTTCAAATGCTCGTCCGATTGCTCGCAGTTGTCGGGCATTTGCGAAAAAAAAGAGTCGCACGGTATCGCTCGGCGCGCGCACCCCGATAAAATTGATTGGATACGTTTCATGAAATTTACGCTTGCAAATCATCAATTACAGTTAGAGAGAAATGTAATTCCGACGTTTTACTCGCTCGCCGGGTCAGCCTTTTTAAACGCAGAATAAATTCCCACCGACGCCGCCGCGCCGAAGGGCTTCCGCCCTATTTTCCTCTTTTTCGCGCCGTGCACTTGAGCACCGTTGCCGCTGCCGCTGAACCTAATTCCCGAGGTTGAATGTATCGCGAAGTTTAAAATTAAACGGAACAATCAAACTGAAACAAGGTGAAGGCGATAAAACGTTCGAGCAAGTGGCCCGGGAGAACGGCTGCCGTGGCCTGCGCCTGGCGGCAGTAGAGAAGCGACGCGTTTGGTCAGCCTGCGCTAAGTTAGGCCTGCGTTCAGCCGGGCTCAGTTTAATCGAGAGACATTGAGTCAGGTTGAAGTTAATCCAGGGTCAGTCAGGTTGAAGAAGATTGAGCCTGGACTATTTACAGCAACGAGCGGAAAGTATGTTGGCGAATGTTCGAGCATCGTCAATTTTAAAGGAAGGTCTCTAGGATGATGTTTTCATCCTTCATTTCGTAGAAAAATTTTTTTTAGAAAATCGGTTATTGCATATAAAAGTAGAGACTTCGGCCTTCAAAATAAGCATACCTTGATCGTCGTACGATTTTTTTAATTCAAATTGCGCGAGTGTGAATATTGACTAGTATTCTGACGTAGTCAGTTTTGTCTCGAATATTCTAAGACGTCGTTTTCTATCCGCCGTAACGTCGACAAATTTTTTAATGAAAAATCAGTCAGGTGTCGTGAAAGTGGAAGCTTTTACCTTCAAAACGAGTTAAATATGATCGTCGTACGATTTTTTTGAACCGAATTATGCGAGTCTGAATATTGACTACTATTCGAACGTCGCCAATTTTGCCTCCAATATTCTAGGACGACGTAACGTCGACAAATTTTTTAATGGAAAATCAATTACATTCCGTGAAAGTGGAAGCTTCAACCTTCAAAATGAGTCCAATATAATCGTTGTACGATTTTTTTAAACTGAATTATGCGAGTCTGAATATTGACTACTATTCGAACGTCGCCAATTTTGCCTGCAGTATTCTAGGACGACGTAACGTCGAAAAATTTTTTAATGGAAAATTAGTTACGTTTCGTGAAAGTAGAAGCTTTAACCTTCAAAATAAGTCGAATATGATCTTCGTACGATTTTCTTAAACCGAATTGTGCGAGTCTGAATATTGACTACTAACTCGCACATCAACTTTGCCTCGAGTCTTCTAGGATCCTTCAGCATCCATCAGACTAGGTTCATGAAGACTATGGCACCCCGCTCTAGGGCCTATTAGACAAACCCTATGGAGACTAGTATCCACCGAACTATCTCTAAAAATATAACATCTTCTATAATAACTCCAGGAACACCGCAATCCATCTGCGCCGTTTAAGGTCCATCAACTTTCCTCATCGTCGCCCTCCATTTTGATATTTTGAGTCCTCCACCTAGCCTTCTCCAGGCTCCGAATAAGTTCTGCAGAGGATTCAATCAGCCGCACGGCCAACAAAATAATTCAGCGGCCGATCACTGGCCACCGTCTTCATCCAATAAGCATTCCTCGATCGAGTCCCCGCCCAGATGCTCCAGCAAAGTGTAGACTCTCGTCGCTTCCAGAAAGCGTTCGTCGACCGCGCAATCTTCTTCAATTCTCCGGTGTCATTTTCTCGCCGGGCTCTCTCCCATCCGTCACGAGAGTATGAATTCGTGAAACCCGCTGCGCGGTGGATATAAAAGAATACCGTCGCCCGCCCCCCGCACCCGCGGCAGCTCCTCGCGCGCGCTAGGAAGGGCGTTGTCGGCGGGAGGAGCAGCAGCAGAGGGTTCTCTTGCATGGCGGTTCTCATAAAGTCGCGAGCTGCCGCGTAATCGCGGGTATATTAAAGCGCGAGGAGATCAGCCCGGAAGATTTCGCGAAATAAGAAGAGAAGGGTTCGCTGCCGCGAGTGCAAGCGCGGCCACGATAAAAAATGGGAGCCGAGGTGGCCGCGCACAGGTGAGCCAACCAGTCGACTGCCTTTGCGTCGGAGCTTATTAAATGAGACAAAGTGGACGTATTAGCTGGCCTACGTCTGCCGTTCGTTAATTTTCATTCGCGCGGCGCGACCGAACTCAAGAATTACAGGCGAAAAATGTAAAATTAGCGTTTAAAATCTTTTAAACTTTTTAAAATCAGTCGCTGTCTTCTGACTCGGTGTTGCGAGTTTCAAAGGGTTACAGTGGCAAGGGTGTGTCAAACTTCAAATATAGAAATACTGTCGTAAAGTAGAGGTTTCGAGCTTTAATTTAAAAATAAAGTCATTATCCTGCGATGATTTTTGGTGGAGTTATCGCCGGTCAAAGTTGGCCAATTTCTATTGGTAACTTTTCTGTGATACAATTTCGTCGAGCAGTTTATTTAACTGTTAACTGTATTAAATATTAAACGCTTAAATGTTGCACAAGTCGCTTAAAGTAGAGGTTTCGAGCTTTGATTTAAAAGAAAAGTCATCATCCTGCGATTATTTTTGGTGGAGTTATCATCGGTCAAATTTGGTCAATTTCTATTGACAATTTTTCTATGATACAATTTCGTCGAGCAGTGTATTTAACTGTTAACTGTATTAACTGTTAAATGCTTAAATGATACACGAGTCACTTAAAGTAGAGGTTTCGAGCTTTAATTTAAAATGAAAGTCATCATCCTGCGATGATTTTTGGCGGAGTTATCGTCGGTCAAAGTTGGCCAATTTCTGTTCAAAATTTGTCTACGATACAATTTCGTCCGAACAGTGCATCTAAAAAATGGTTTAAAACGTAAACGTTGCACGAGTCGCAAAATTCAATTGCACATATTTCACTGGGTGACACGAAATGGAAATCCTATAAGTCAGAAATCGGCGCACAGTAAAGAGGCACGGTAAAACAGACTCGATAACTGACCCATAGAAATAAACTTTCTATATTTTGAAGAGCGCGATGGCTCGCTCGAAAACGGTTCCGTGAATTTCCTTAACTTTTAACTAAACTAATTTTCAGAAATAAATTCATACTTCTACGCTAAAGACATCGTCGACGTACAATCGAAACGTGTCAAGAAGCGCGATACAGGTAAAAGGAAACTATCGAATTTGTCGAAAACTTCGGACGTCGGTTTAATGGGCGCGCGGTAATTGACACACTTAGCCTAGTTCTTGCCGAGGGTGGAGGGGGGAGGTTGTATAATTTTGCGGTGAATTGATAGGGACCGAGAGATGGCCGGGCCCAGATTGCCGGTCTAGAAAAGTTCCCGATCGAAACGGGAACGGAAACGAGCGACCGGGGAAAAAGTTCACGCCAACGGCGGCTTTTCGCGGAATCTCCCCGTCGTGGTCGTTAATTCCGCGCCGTAATTATTATTACAATGTCCATAGTTGAAACAGGGCCGGCGCGGTTGGCGCGTCGCGTCCCGGCGTTTCCACCAGCTATTTACAGATCGATTAAAACGTCAGCCGGCCGTAAGTATTCTTCGTGGCCGTCGTGAAAAATGGCTTCCCGTCACGGAAGCTGCTCCCGTGTATATAATAACAGGCGGGGACGGTATCCCCGCGGTAAATCATTGTAAATTCATTTTTCTCTTCCGTCTTGTTATTCCCGCTTCATCCTCATCTCGGACGGGACGTCGTTCCCGGTCGTCGAAACGAACCTCCTCGAGATTTATCGCGGTAGATCGGCTGGTTCCAGGCCGAGCCGCGGCCCCGTTCGATCGTCGATCCGACCGCGATCGATCCCTGAGCCACCGCTCGCCGATAATTTATGCAGAACGTTCGACGATAATGGAGCACGTCCCGCTTCATCATTCACCGGGTGGCCCCGGTGTATTTAGCTGTCGTTCCTGCGACAACCTGGACGCTGCCTGTTGGCTTTTCATCCCCCTACGACTCTTCCAATATCGCTAATGCACCCGGCCACGCAACGATCCGCCGGAATCTCAAGGAATCAATCCGTTGATTTTCAACGTTGTCAAAAATCGGCGAACGTTCGACCGCTTCTAGCGCGGCGAGAAAAAATCCGGCGGCCGTCCGTTCGGACTCGTTTTAAACGGTAAACTGTCCTCTTTCGCACTATTTTCTT